TTTTGGGGTTGATATGGGACCCAGTGCTCACTATGGGATAATCACCGATGGCTCTATGTGATCCAGACACACAGGAATAGCCAGCCTGGTGGGCTGGATAAAAGCCACTGCAAAGTCTGTTTACTCTGAGGAGGGTACAAGACAATTGATTTTAGACTAAAAGGAGTGGCCTCCCATGAAGATGACTCTGTTTATAGAATACACTATGGCTGCTGTTGGCCATTTCAGATAATTCAGAATGTTAGGATTCAGATTAATGGATTATGGATGAAGGGAGTGAGCCCCATGTTGGGCCAAATGGCTTAACTCTCTGCAAACCCTTTCCTACCATTTAGAGGCACGGGCTCAGATCAGTATAAGGTTGTTTTTACCCCTTAGTCTCCATTTAACAAGAAATTTACTGCTCTATCTTACAGTCATATCTTACATGTAATGAATGCTACATTCATCATAATCTTCCACAGTTTTTCCTATTTCTTCTGTGTTTATTTATTTTTTAATGTCCTCTTCCTCAAATTCCAGTCTAGGAAAGGTCCCAGTAACTCCCCAATTCCACCCATGATAACTTGGAAAAATGGCACTTACTTCTGCTGATGGGGTAGGAGACAAAGTCCTTGGAGACTGGAAGAATAAAAGAGAATTTAAAGTCACAATGTTTATTAACTTATCATTCGCTTATCAGCATCACTTGGAAACATTATTCGCACTACACATGCCATCACCCCTTGCCCACCCTGTCTTTTAATTTAGTACTTTGAGAGTGGGGCTTGGACAGGTATCAATGATGAAGTTCCTGGGGGGACTATGGTGCCCATCTTTGCCTAAGAACCATGGGTTTTGCTAAATACTTTGTGATGCTTTAAGTAATTAAGCTAGACGAATTGGAACTATTTCCCCTATAGGCTCAAACTATGCTCGGTTTACTACTATGAATTATGTACAATATCTACTGAAAGATAGAATTTTATAAACATGGTTATTGACTAAATTATAACCACAACAATCACATAAAACAGTTTGATGACTTTAATGACTACATAGGCCTGTGATGACCAGGTCTGTGGCATCCCACCTTGGTGGCCTTACCAACCTCACCACCATATACCTTCAGGCTTCATCCTTTCATGCACACAGGCTTCCATGGGGCCATCAACAGGCCACGCCCTCTCACCTCAGGGCCTTTATCTCTTCTGCCAGCAGGGCTTTTCACTCAGGCACCTGCAGGGCTCACACCCGTCTTCGGTGAGGTCTCTACTCAAAGGCACTACCACACTGAGCCTTCTATGACCCTCCTACTTAAAGCAGCAGCACTCCAGCCCAGGCACACTTTCTCCTTACTCTGCTTCATTTTTCCTCATAGCACTATCACCCTATAAAATTATATCTGTTTGTTTGCTTCTTGTCTGTCTCTCATTTTACACTGCAAGCTCCATGAGTGCGAGGACTCCGTTCATTTACAACTAAGTATTCCCAGTGACTAGAACAGGTTCCGGCACACATTAGGTGCCCGATACCTTTTTCCTAAATAAGGAATGAAATGTGCACAATTAAAATGCAAACAGCTTTCAAACAGAAAAGAAATGCAAATGGAGCATCCCAAAGAGTATGGCCAGGGATGGATTTCTCAGTTTCAGGATCTGCCCCTTCCAAATTTACAAGATGCTGCCAGGCTCGCTTGCACTCTGGACTTCCTGGTCTGGTCTGCGGCTTCAGCCTGTCTCTGGGGTCCCTTGAAGGCAGGGGCCAGGGCTGCCCCTGTGAGAGCAGGCTTCTGGATCCACCTATCTACGCTTTCTGAAGGCCCAGATGGCTACACAGAACTTCAAGTCTACTCCTCTGGTATTTCTAAAAAGGCGATATGTAGATTCTATGAAAGAAGTGTTAATAGCTAAAGGAATAAATAATCACATAGCTTGTAAAGTTAGCTGCAAGATCCAAGTACTGGGAAGGGTTTGCTAACATGTCCGATTTCTGATCCGGGAGCATCCTCCATGGAGAGTCTGCTCGGAGCAACCCACAGGTCATCATTCCAGGTTGTGACAGTAAGGATGCTGATTATGAAAGCAGTCAGTATTTTTGCTGACTACTTGTTATGTGCCAGGAACTGTTCTAATCTAAATATTTCACTTAATCCTTACAGAAAACCTCTAAGGTATTATTATTATCTTGAGTTTATCCATAAGGAGACTGGAATTTGTAATTTTCCCAAAGTCATATGTGAGGAAATATTGGATCCTGGTTCCAAATCCAGAAATGTTCACTTCAAAGCCTGAATTCTTATGTTTTTAGCCTGAGTGCTTATGTTTTACTGCCCAAAATGGAAGTACTGGGAAACACACAGCAACATACACATACCCCCAAACCCATGAAACAATTCACTTCCTAACACCATGAAACAATTCACTTCCTCCTTGCTTGTATGACTTGGATGCCAGGAAATTCTCGCCCACTTGGTCCAGGTCCAGCCCCTGTGCGCTTTGCTCAGGAATCTCCCTTTGTCCTTTATCCCCTGTGCGCTCTCCAGGGCACAATGGCAACGGAACCACCCAGGCCTGCCCACCTGCACTTGAGAGCTGCCACGGATGCAGCTGACCACTAGGTGGCACTACATGAAAACAGATACCACTTCCTGACCCGTGGACCCTTTCAATTCGGAGCTCTGCTCCGGAGTAAAATCCAGGTTGGAAAATAAGTGAAAAGAATAACATATATTATAATTACAGATAAACATAAATATAATCATAAAACAATAAACATTATATATAATTGAGAACAAACGAAACAAAATCACCACATTTTCATGCCTCTTCTTCATACGCGACCTCAAAGCCCCGTGTGGACGTTACGGATAGTTTCCAGCATGTTTTAACCTTGGCTGAACGCTGATTTTGGACCCTTACTTGAGTAACATCTACGTGACGGACTCTAATCAGTTTATGGATGACTCCAGTTTAAAAAATAAAAAGGTAAAACTTTTTAGAGTGTGTTGAATAGGCCAGGGAAAACAGAGCCCACGAGACTGGGGTAGGAAGTGACAACAGGGGCTTTCAACCTTGAAAGAGGACAAGGGTGGGGACACCCCAGGGGCTGAGAGGCAGCAGAATGGGTCTGCCTGGGGAGCATGAATAAGCCCCAAGAAGACAGGTACCAATGACAGTAGTAGCTGTCATTTGCTCAATATTTACGAGTCTGGCTCTCTGCTAATTGCTTTTATAGATTAGTTAATATAGATTAACAGATAATAAATTAGATAATAAATTATCTAGATATTATGTAGACATTAACCTTTAATTGACAGTTTATTTAATCCTCACTAACACACCATGAGGAAGATTCTGTCATTATCCTATCTGTTTTACAGATGAAGGAACTAGGATCAGAATGGATGTCACATGGCCAAAGTCACACAGCCAGCATGTGCAGTCCCCAGGCTGAGCTCTGGTAACTTGATTCCACAACCCTAGCTCACTATACTGTGATGCCATTCTCTGTTTTTTTCTAATTTTACACACTCTATCTATCTTACTATGCTAGAAACTGCCGATGTCAAAATTTAGGGAGTGTACTTTCTCTCCTCATGATCTCAATATAGTTCAGCTTGCCCCAAGACCAAGACCACCCCTGCCCACACACATACAAACCCCTCCTTCCCTATTCTCTCTGCCCAGCTCACAGAATGAATCTCTCCTAACAACTGTGGCTTTCTCCTGTAGGTAAAAAAAAGGGGCGCTGTAATAAATCACAAATCCCTAACTGGACAGGTCACGGAGGGTAGTGATGCCCGGACACATAACGTCTTTAGTAAAAGGCTTATCTTTGTCTGAAGCCCCGCCCATTGTTTCTGTGCATCTAGGTTCACACACCTTTGAAATGCCTCCTTTCAGACCCCTCCTTCTAAAGCGTGAGCCTGTCATCCAAACCCCACCTTGCTTTCTCCCACCCTCTGGTAATCTTCCTTATATTCATTCCTTCCTAAATTTCAAATGCATAAAAGCAGCTGTAAAACTTATTCTCCGGAGCGTTGGAGATCTTGCTCCCTGGCAGATGTCATCAGTTATGGCTCAAATAAAAACTCTCATAAAAATTCTCTACAGGTTTGGATGTTTCTTATGTAAACACCTCTCGGCATGCAACCTGCTAGAACGCTTATTCATCTTTCACTTGTTTTCTGCGTGGCTGTTCTGCTCCCCATCTCTCTGTAACCTCCCGAGGAAAGGGACAGTGGAATAGGTTTTTAAATACCTCAAAGTGCCTGGTCTGGAAGGGTGCAAATAGGGTGCAATCAAAAGGGCCCTCTGACTTATTTGGACTTTAACCGGTCGTTCTTACGCAGGTAACCAAGAGAAGTAAGCTGTACAACTCACAGCTTCCAGGAGTTTATTACCTCTCCCAGGCTCTGTCTCTCTTGTTTGTCGTCATAGCCTGAAGTGTAGAAAGGCTCATAGGTAATAAGATCTGGACGTTCAATATCATAAATTGCCTTGACCTTGGGAATGGCTGCTAAATCCTTGTACTCCAGGATTTCATTGTCCACTTTTGCCTGGCAAAGTTAAACAGAAAGAAAAGTTATTCAGCAGTGTCATTTCTTTGGGGAGCTACTATTAAACTAAAACACTTTGCTTGGCAGAGGCAAACTCTTTAGACAGTTGTCCATTTATACCATATGTTAATCACATTTAAAAAAATAAGTCATCATAAGCTTAGGAAAAAGTCTACGTGGAATTCATCAAGTAGAGAAACCTGTACACCTTCAGGATAATTTCCTAAATGTATTACAGAGAAGGAAAAGCTCGAACAGATGGTCAAAATATCCGCCCAGATGGCTGAAAACAAAAACTGCATGTTTAATAAACTAAATATTTAAATACCTTTGTGATAGAATTTAAGAACATTTACTATCAGCATAATAAAGCATATAATTAATCCCCAAATATCTATATGCAAGTTAGATGCAATGATTTTTTAAAGTCCTGCATCATATTACTATATTTTATGGGTCATTTACTTGATCACTCCACTGATGGTTACAGTCACCTATAAATTTAATTACCTGAAGGAAAACATGATAGAGAGAAGGCTAATGTACAACAATGAAAACTGAATCCCATAACAGAAATAGAAATCATTTGGGATTATTCTGGTTTTGGATTACCTACTCCGCGATTATCATCTGCTACCTTACCTGTCCCAGAAATGTCTCTTTGGGAAGTAGATACTTACATAGATAGTGTGGCCTGGGGAGCCAGGGATGCTGGAGCCTGTTCTAGAATAAATGCTTTCGGATGAAGTCCTGGTAGGCTGTAAAATAAACAGTGACTTGTAAGATTTCAGGCCATGGCTTCTGAATCGAGACTGGCCTAAGTCCCTAAGCTTTACTAAAAACTGAGCTGGTGAAAAGAACAAAGACGAGGGACTTTTCCGAATAAGGGAAAATAGAACCTAGAGAGAAAGGTAAATGAGAACTAGTTGTACAGTCAGCCTTGAAAATGCATTTGTGGCTTTTCTTTCTATCTATCTCCTCTTCCTTGTTCCCTACAAGAGCTTCTGGCTCTACCTTCAAGCACGTTCCTCTCTATCTCCATTGTCATAATCCCCCAGTCACCACCTCTGCTCGTTTGGACTACTGCGATGTCCCCTCCTCTGTGGGTTTCCTGCCTTCATTCTTGTCCTCTTTGAATCTACATGGTACCCAGTGGCCAGAGAGATCTTTTAAGGATATAATTTAGATTGTCTCCTTCCTGCTTTGGCTTCAGTGTCCACTTAGAATAAAGTCACGACTCCCAGGGCCTCAGGATTTTGTCCTTGCCTTCCCTCACACTGTCACCCACAAGCCACCATCACTCGTAGAACACGGAACATGTCCCCGTTTTCAGGGCTCTAATCCTTGATGCTCCCTCTGAAATACTCTGATCCATTTTACTTGGTTGATTTTTTTTCCTCCTTCAGTCTTGGCTTAAATACCACCTCCTCCAAGAAGCCCTCCCTGACCTTCCAATCCAGAGTTGGTTCACCTTGTTATTTTCTTTCGTAGTGTCATTCTTATTTTTTCCTTCATGAACAAAATGTATGTCCATATTTATTGTTTCCTTCCATCATGTCTTACCTCCCTAACTTTAGTTATGATCTCTGCCCTTATACGGTTTATTTTTTCAGTGTATGTGCCCAATGATTTACACAGGTACAAAGAAGACATAAATACTTATGGAGAGAATGAGCTAGAATTTGTGAATTTTAAACGAATACTAAGTTTGTGGATACTTGACTCATATTAAGTACATGACTTGAGCCTAACCACACACACAGTCACTGAGGTGAGGTGAGGTGAGGTTAGAGGTCAGCCACTGGGGAAGTTACAAGAAACTGGACTTCATAATATAAGCTTCGAGAACCCCAACAATGAGCAGTGGTGACAGGAGAGGGGGAAATGCATAAACTAGGATTCACTGCCCCCTATCTCTGCTTGGCACATTCTGGAAAGTTCTGCCAAGAAAACCAGAGGCCTGGTCTTTTGCTCCCCAGCATGCAGCTATTCCTTGGAGGGGATATTTGATTATTCTATGTTAGGAATAGAACCTTTTCCTCGTTGGTACTGTTTCTGCTGATACTTAGCACCTTGAATATGCAAGTAGCTGAGCCAAAAGAGCCTCTAAAATCAAGGATGCTGCCTCTCTAAGTAATTCACATCTGAAACAAAGAAAGCCAACCCACTGGGCCAGTTAGAGGCAGGCAGTGATTACACTTGCTCTAACAGGAAGAATTCACTGGAGGACTGTGACCAATCATCTCAGCTGGTGTCCCTGGTGTCTTCGAGATACCAGGGTGAAGGAGGTTGGGGAACCCACACTGCACGAGCAGAGCTGTGCCAGGCTCATGGCTTCTGGTCAAGACCTGCCACACACAAGTACTTTCCTTCTGAAGTTCCAATTTTCCAATCATGGGCATATCTCAGTATGAGAAAATCCCCAATTCTGAGTACATTGAAAGGATTCACATAATAACACTATCAAAAAGTCCAATTCCTTGATCTAATACTTAATCAAAATAGAAGTGACACAACCAAAGTTCAGGCCTTCTTTAAAAAAAAAAATGCCACATCTTAATAAAGTTGAGCCAATACCCACCTCTGTGGGATAATAATTAACTATAGGTTAATCCTCATCTTCAAGTGGCCAGGAGCTAATATTTGCCAAACCCAATATCAAAATGAAACCTCTTAAGTAACAACAGAAGAATGTTTATAGCAGCTAATGTTTATTGCCCACTTACTATGTGACAGGCCCTGTGCCGAGTTCTCAGGCATGATCTCGTTTAATCCTCTCAATAACCCCACGAGGTAGGTGCTGCTATCAGCTCTATTTTATAGATGAGGAAAAAGCATGCATGCTGTAAGCCACACAGGGAGACAGGTGTCATGATCTGAACCCTAGAGATAGAGCCCAAGCTCTTAATCCCTGCACTAAAATTTCCTCCATGTCGTAAGGTAAGTGTGACCATACACTTCCCAACAACATAGCTATGGGACAAAGAAGGTGAAAAGAAAAATATTGAGCTCGACTAGCAGAAAATGGTGCCTGCAAACTGAAAATATGTTTATTGCCACTGGCTTTATAAGAACACCCCGCATTTATAAGAACGAGCTGTGTTGGGGTGGGGTAGGAGACGGTGCGGGACAGGCGGACATCTTCAGTTACTGCTGTTGCTATGACAATGGCCTATTTTCATTAACGAGCAGCTAGGACACTGTGTGAACAACCAAGTGCACACTGAGTTTTAGGGTCTCTCCCACATGAATCATCCTGATTTTGCCAAACGAGGGTGGGGGATGCTTTCGGCCTTTCTTCTCACGATGCACCAGGGGGTGGGGGGGGGGGCGGGGTTGGCTCCGAAGTGTTTTGTTCTCTCGTGTATTGTGCGTGCTCACAGCTGGAGAACGATGCGAGTGCATGTCAGGAAGGGGCCTTTCATGCTCTCTTCCAGGGAAGAAAAATTCCACGGAGAGGAAAGGTCTCTTGGCTGCACTAGCCTCTTTCAGCTCAGTCTTCCTCCACCTTCCTCCTTCATTGGATCAGAATATCCTGGGGGTTATGCAGGCTTTCTCAGAACGTTTATCCGGTTCATTTACAGGAGAATGCGGGGCTAAAGGTTTTAAGAGTTATCTAACAATGTGAATTTTTGTCAAGTCTCATTTGAGTCTTTTAAAAGTTTTCAGATTTGGATCACCTCTAATTTGCCTACCCCTGCCCTGGGTTCTCTGATTCCAAAATAAAGATTTTAGGTTTTTAGAATTAGACAGTTTTCAAAGTCAAGTCAGTGTTCACCAAACCCGCCGGTGCTCTGGCTCTTGTTAGAGGTATCACTCCGCCATGTGCGTCTTCAGACTTCTTAGCGTTCCTGGAGAAATGCTCAAGACGTCTCTTGGAGACTCAGAAGCTGCTCTTTCTTTCACTGCAGTCACCACTGTTTGCTTCTGCTTCCCTCTGACTTCTGAACCTTACTGTAAAACTGACTTCCACAGGTATCTTGTTTATGGGTTGGGTTCCATTCTTGCTTGCCTATTTTCTTACAGGAGTCCTTCTCAGTTTTCCTGTCTAACATGAAATAATGGGATAAAACACAACTCTGTATAATAGAGTGGGGTTAAAAGGCTGGCTCGGGAGTCAAATAATTTATTCAAATCCTGGCTCTACTGGTTGTATGCCAGTACGCGACTTTTACATTTTCTCCTCTCTCTCTTTTTTTTCTTTTGGCTTCCTTGGGCTTCAACTTCTCCATTGTATCTTGTTTATGGGTTGGGTTCCATTCTTGCTTGCCTATTTTCTTACAGGAGTCCTTCTCAGTTTTCCTGTCTAACATGAAATAATGGGATAAAACACAACTCTGTATAATAGAGTGGGGTTAAAAGGCTGGCTTGGGAGTCAAATAATTTATTCAAATCCTGGCTCTACTGGTTGTATGCCAGTACGCGACTTTTACATTTTCTCCTCTCTCTCTTTTTTTCTTTTGGCTTCCTTGGGCTTCAACTTCTCCATTTACAGAGTGGAGGAGAGGGTACTAACAACCACTGCTTCATAGGGATAAATGGGACAATACAGATAAAGCTACGAGCACACCTGCTTGACATGGGCCAAGTACCCGGCATTTTCCAGACATCTGGCATCAGGCAGGTCATCTCAAATACTCAAGGACAGCACTGCCTCCTTTTGCCTCTTGTGACGGTCCTTTCAAACATGAGCTACAGAGACTGGACTTTGCTACACACTTGGATGCCTTCCTATCAAACTCGGATGTGTTAAGTAATTTATCACAGTAGATGGGGCAGCAGCCCCACCTGGAGTTGACAAATGTCCTTCCCCTTCCTGAGAACTCCATTATGAAGTGATTCGGTATCCTCCCGAGACACTGACTTCCTGCTTAGGTCTCTGCTCTGGTAATTAATGCCCTTCCATGCTGTGCGGTGAAGACCTCGGACAGGCCTGTCTCATCTGCCAGGACGATTCCTGGTTTGCTGCCTCTTGACCTGTGCTCAAAGCTTAAACAGCGCACATGGATCGCCTGCTTTTTGTCACATTCCCTAATGGCTCTTGAAGTGTATTTGCTGACCCAGCAGAGATTAGAGAGGACCCTCCCTTATAAAGATAACAAAAATACTTTTAAAACCAAACTGTTTAATCTCAAATATTTGGAATTTTATATTTCAATTCTAAACATGTAAATTCTAAACATGTTGACTGTTAAATGAATATGATTATTATTAAAAGAACCCCTTTTTATTCTTCTAGCTATATTTTTCCCCCTAATTAATATATAACTTGCTGAGGGTCTCAAGGCTCAAGGTCTCCTCAAAAGACCCAGAGTGCTGTCTTCCAACAGAGTAGCTCAGATCCATTCTAAGTGAAACTCATCTTAACCTCAAAAGCAACAACTTACTGACTCGCTTTCCCTCTTTCGAATCACACTGACAGTTTCTTCTTTACATTAATTCTAGTGTCACCCCTTTGGGCTGTGATAACATTTTACTGATGATCCATATTCCCACAGATGATCTTTATGCACAATTATTTAATCTAAATTACTATTTCGACTCATTTGAATATCCAGGCTAACAACAGTGACCCAGTAATTATGAACTGAATTCAGTGACACGATGGGTCGACAGCCTTTGGTTCTGGACTTCTCCGTGAGAGCTACAGCTATGATGAACAAAATTATTCTCTTGCCTATATTATAAATAAAGATAAATTTTAAATATTTATTCTTAAAGCCATGCCCACTTCTGTTCTGTAGAGACAGGAAACAAG